TCAAGACGTTGAAGGAAATACTCCACCAAGCCACAAGCAACATCTAAGAATTCCGAGTCGGACGTCCACATGTACGTCTGCGCATAGCCTAAGATAGCCCAGGCTTGACCGCGAGCCCATGTAGAAGTTGCCGAGTAGCCTTGTGCTGTGCGACGTTCTTTTAGCGCACCTGTAGCTGGATCGAAATTGACGACATGTGCAGTGCTATACAAGGGGCCTGAAAAACCAGTGCCGCTGCTGTGATTCTTCTCTACACGCAAGTTTGAGCGAACCAGAGTTCTCGCGTGCGCGGTGGCCGCATCTGCAAACTGCGTCTGTCCTGTATGCGCTGCGGCATAGTACAAAAGGTCGAGATTACACATGGAATCGATAATGACTAGAAAGTCATGATCAAGGCTCGTAATGGTGATCCCTTCTTGTGTAAGCTTATCCCAGGAGCGGATTGCTCCTACTCTAGAGTTGTATCGCGAATACAAGGAGTTAGCGGCCCTGATGACTGAGCCAAGTGCCTTCTCCTCATTCATAAGCTCCCATCGTTGGCGCATAGAGGGTTGTATCATGAAAGACATATCATGTGTATCCGTCCGATGTGCAGTCTCATGCAATGGGTCAGACCAAGCTGCCCCGAGGACCTGCAGCTTTTCGCGAATGCAGGCTTTGTTGGCACCCCCTGGAACACTGCCAGGAAATTTGACCGTACGCTCTAGGAGAGAGTAAATTGATCCAGGAAAAAACCCACAAGTCCAGAAATCGGCCTCTCGCTGCACATATTTTCCTGCTTCAGGACCTGTCTGCAATACATACTCGGGATATGTAACGGGAGGATTCTACGATTTGTTAGCTCTTGCGGGCTAACGCTTGCGTCTTTGCAACACTTACATTATCCTTTAACCCCAATTCTGCTGTTCGTATAATCTTTGCTGTGACATTGTCGTCAAACAGTTCCCTGAGGCGATACCCAATTGTCGAAATAGCTTCTGGAGCAGCTGGTAGAGAACCCATGGCTTCCGGGGTTTCAAAAACACTAATTTGCTATCCAAGAACAGATGGAGACCTAAGACAATCGCACGAGTGCTGCAAAGACCGAGGGGTACTCAGGACTTGGGCAGGCTGGAATAGCCAAATATGACTTGGTATGAAGTACTGGGGGCAAATACCCACCACTTGGTTCAAAAGTAATGTAAACACAGACAACCTACGTGTTGCACGCCAAGTACTTGCAAGAAGTTTATCTGTCGGGGTATAGAATTTGTCGGAGAATATCTGTCCGGCCTCTGTTGCCGCGAACGGACCGGGGTGACATCGCCCGAGAAATCGGCCGATGCCCGATACCGTCATTCCCCGCGTTTCACCTGTAGCCTTCCACTACATGTGAATAATTTAGCTCCAGTTGTGTCCAGCGGATCATTCAGGGATGAACTAAATGAGAAGTTGGAAATAAAAAAAATAAATAAATAAAAAAAGGATTGCAGATGATGTTTGTAGATTTCATTATTGAATATGTAAACTCCAGGTTGTAAGAAACCATGATGTTCACGCAATGCAAAATATCGAGTCCACGGACCTACGCATCATCTGCTGCTTGCGGCCTCTGGGTATTGCTTTAATCTGACTTGTCTGACATAGATGTCGACAGTTCGGCGGCTAGCACATCTTCATCTCGTTGTCTCAACAGCCAAATTAGCAATCCTGCCGGACCAGCAAATAGAAGCCTGCCAAGCATGTTCAATATTGTTGATGGAAGACATTGCTTCGAGAAGGGCACTGGACTTGCCATATTCAGCAGTGTCGCAGCCCAAACAATTGCCGTGGTATATCCACCCAGGAAATCATATATGAAGAAGTCGTGCATTGTCTTTGCTCCTGATGACCAAGGCCTTGCTGTAAGTGGTGAACTTGGAATGAAAACACTGATGAAAGTGAGCTTATCGGCGACACCATCGAAAAATGTGTCTGGGAAAATCTTTGCAGCAGCGATGACTGCAAAAGAAACGATTTGTACACAAGCAGCGACGTTCCAGGCAAAGTCGTAGACGTTTTGTAATGCGAGACTGTCCACCTCTGCTTTGGTGGCTCCGTGGAATTGGCCAATCGCAAGTCTGCGGAACGCTTTCGTGGTTAAAAATTGCCAAAAGGCAATGGAAAGGGGAGATAGTTGGAAGAGAGCACCGAGCCATTGACGGAACGTGGCATCTTTGAATGGTGTTCCTACTAGGACGGCTAGAAGGAAGTAGCCCGGAATGAGTGCTGGGATGATAGCAACCAGCTTAACAGGATCCCGGAGATGGACTGCACTGGAGCGGTTGCGACAACGAGATATCAGGAGAAGGTGGAGGATGCAGTAGATAGGCATGACGTTCGCATATGCAAAGATCTGAATGAGCGTTACCCAAATCGCAGTGCTTGATGGCGGTTAGTTAAGGAATTGAGTTATAGACGCGGTAAGCGAGCTTACAAGAAGATCGCATTGTTACTATTCCAAACGCGAGAGCCCTCAATGACAAGAACAAGGTAAGCAGGCACGAACTGCCCAGCACAATGAAATCCGTAGAGCGAGATTTCAGGATGAGCGCCATCGGTGAATCCCGAGAAAAAAATATTGACGCACGCGAAAAATCGATCAATCAGCCGTACGCCAGTGTAGTGTCTAATTATGAGGTCATTCGACTCAGGCAAGTTGTGTGGTTTGTCGTCAAGCAATGTGTTAAGGTGCTGCATGAAGCCATTTCGCGTGAGCTGGCCAAAGGTATTGCTTAGCCCAAACAGAAAAAGACCTGACAAGATGGCGATAGCCTCAATGGGAATCGCCCTTCTCGTGCCGGCAGAAGATGAATTAAGAGACATTTGGAGAACCCTCGGAACAAAGAAAACTAGGTGAATACAGTGTAACTGTTGAATGGCAACATGAAGCGATCACAACACGGATGTGGATGGCAGAGTGGCTCTTCAATTCATACTCCAGTCCCAGTATAGAACACAAATTGCAATTCTAATTACCTATACTACGATATCAGCACTCTTCCCGGAGCCGAGAAAAAAAATGGACGTTGTCGTAGCTGGGCCGTTGGCATGTTATGAGGGGCCTTTCTCCCTTAAAAATCACCAAAAATCGGGGGGCATTGCAAGTTCTCGGACAGGTTGCGGGGTTTTGCTACAGCCCGAAGGGCAGCATTGACGGCCCCGACTCCACTTCTCGGCACAGCGCCTCGGGCGGCTGTAATTGGACATGACAACGCATGTGGGGACATCCCGTAGGGCTGGAGCTCCACTACGTGCCATATCCAGCCAAACAGTTTGATTTCCTATGCAAATGAGTAATGTAAGTCGTGAATCAGGAATTTAAACATGTCACAAAAACCCCTTGATCAGTCGAAGAAATCAAAGAGCAGTTCCGGGACGGGAACATGTAGCCGGGCTCTCGGGTCGATTAAGAACCCTTGAATGAGAGAGGGCTCGCCAAGGACTTCGCGTATCGGAGACTTTGCAGTGCTCGAGCTTGGATAAGTTCCACCGAAGCCTTCGGCCCCCTTTTCAATGGCAGGACCAAGAGTAGAACCATCGCCACTCGAATCGGGATAGGAGAGGCATAGATCAAACTCGGTAGTCGTCGACGACTAGGATACTGAACCAAATAGAAAACAACACGTCATGAGGCATCAAGAGAGAAAAGCTGTCGTGCAGCATATCTTTCGATATCTTCTATTTCACGAGAATCTCTATACAACTCAGTACGGTTGTTCAGAAGAGAGCTTGTCTTAAAATGGGAGATTGAAAAGGATAAAACAAGATTACACGTCCGGGCGCCTCTGGTCCAAATGCCCAGTGGCCTGTCATGAGATTTCAGATTTCATGTGAAACCAACAAAAGCCTTGAGGGGAGCCAACTTGCTAACATACCTCAACGGAGACTTTTCTAGCTGTGCATCTATTTTGATGAGCATACTGCCATTTGTAAGCGACCAACATTATACTGTAAGAAATTGCACAAGCCCGCGGTTTCCTGGGTCCACAACATGAGAGTCTGCACCTCTACCAAAGTCATAATTAGTGAGACTGGATTCCGGCGGTAGACCCATCTGGTGGAAGATAGACTAGGCGCTTCGAATGCTAACATGCACAAGAACAATGCAGCTTCAATAGGTCCTCAATCCGGATGCCGCATAGGTGCTCAGATTTAAGGTGAATAGGCAGTCGACTGATTCAAGTGTATCAAAACAATGCCACCTGTGGTGTTCGTGTCATGTTTGAAGAGTGGGTGGGCAGCGAAGCGTGCATCGTACATCAGTCCATTGGGCGAATCCGAGGTTTCATATACGATTACGGGTCAGATTCAACGAAAGAGAGACTGCGGTCGGGCCTCCGGGATAGGATCGGGTCCTGAAAAGAACCCGAGAGGGGAATAGCACCGTAGATTGGTACAGGGAAGTCAAGGACCGTAGTCTCGGTCCGTGGATGATACGCGACTCATGGCGTGCTGCGGCCACCACTCCACGCAAAAAGAACTGCTAGTCTCTGTCCACGGAGGCTCTGCCCCACGCCAATTCAACTGATTGGATTTCATGCACTAGATTATGGCTGAGAAATAAGATATCTGTGGAGTTGTTGTTTATCCGTCTAAGGCAGCGAACACCAAAGCGCCGTGAGGACGGCGGACAACACTCGAGTCCGTCGCGAGCCCGGTGCATCCGAATTTGCATCTTTATTATTCGCCATTGCTCGAACGGAGGTTTCTATTTTTTTACTTTCTTTGCGTGTCCCTGTGTCGTCATATCCTTGACACCGGTATAGCTTCGCCTTCACTCTTTCCGATCCAAATCCTAACACCTTTCCTTCACGACGTTTTTTTCCAAACTTTCTTGTGTAATCTAGGACATGAAGACTTGTATCTAGATACTATCTAGATTGTATCTCATTCACAACAGAAAACGGATTTCAAATCGCAGAGGACTAGTTCGATTATCGGTCAGGGAGGACGGAGTTAACTCTTTCACGCCATCAACGATGGCTTCGGAAGTCCCAGACAGCAACATGTCTCGTGCAGCTGGCCGGTCACCTGACGGCAGCCAGCGAACGTACACCAATGATATCGAACCCCCTTTCGAGGTCAGCAGCCATATCCCTGAAAAGCACGACGCCACCCCGAAGGATGCATCAGTAAAAGATGTGGCCGGCGACGATACTGCTTCCGATGAGGATGGCAATGAGACGGAAATGGAGAGACGGCACTCTATTGTCCAGGATCTTGCGCGCCAATATACCCAACATTCTACGGTTGATGCAAATGGTGATGTTCACACTTTGTTTGGTAGTGATGACCCAGCTTCTCCACTCAATCCCAATGGCCCCAAGTTCAGCGCTCGTGCTTGGGCGAAGGCCGTGGCGAAGGCGGCGACCGAGCGAGGCACAGGCTTTCGCAAAGCAGGCCTTTGCTTTCAAGACTTGAGCGTCTTTGGATACGGCGCAGAAACAGATTACCAGAAGGATGTCGGAAATGTTTGGCTAGAACTTCCTAGTCTCGCCAGGCAGGTTGGCTCAAAAGATAGGGGTCAACGGCGTATTGATATTCTCCGCAACTTTGATGGAGTCGTCAAAGCAGGAGAAATGCTTGTAGTGCTGGGTCCACCCGGCGCAGGATGTTCGACCTTTCTCAAGACTCTCTCTGGAGAAACAAACGGTATCTACGTCGATGCTGGCGCTTACTTCAACTATCAAGGCCTTTCGGCAAAGGAGATGCACAAAGAGCACAAGGGCGATGCGATATACACCGCCGAGGTGGATATCCATTTCCCTCAGCTCTCCGTCGGCGATACTTTGACATTTGCATCGCGCGCCAGATGTCCTCGGAACCAGCCTCCTGGTATCACACGCGAAGAGTACTGCGATCATATGCGCGACGTTGTCATGGCCATGTATGGCATCAGCCACACAATTAATACCAGAGTTGGCAACGAGTACGTGCGTGGTGTGTCAGGTGGTGAACGCAAGCGAGTAACGATTGCTGAAGCCACGCTCTCAAATGCACCATTTCAGTGCTGGGACAATTCTACGAGAGGACTGGATTCAGCCAATGCTATTGAGTTTTGTAAAACTCTGAGACTGCAATCCGAGCTCTTTGGGCAGACATGCGCCGTATCAATTTATCAAGCCCCACAGAGCGCTTATGATCTGTTCGATAAGGCCATCGTGCTGTATGAAGGACGACAAATTTTCTATGGCCGTGCCGATAAGGCTCGGGAATACTTTGTGAATCTCGGATTCGAATGTCCAGCACGCCAAACTACACCGGACTTCTTGACGTCGATGACAGCGCCCTCAGAAAGAGTCATCCGTGCTGGATGGGAAGGGCGTGTACCCAAGACCCCCGATGAGTTCGCCGCTTGTTGGAAGAATAGCCAGGAATATAGGGAGCTGCAAGCCGAAATTGAGGAATACAAGACAACTCACCCTCTCGGCGGTGCAGACGCCGAAAGCTTCCGTGCCCACAAGAGGGAGGTTCAAGCAAAGAATCAACGACCTGCATCCCCGTTCCTGCTTTCGTACGCTCAGCAGATCCGTCTGTGTCTCTGGCGTGGCTGGAAACGTTTGATCGGAGACCCTTCGCTGACTTTGTTTGCGCTGATAGCGAATTCCATCACAGCGCTCATCATCTCGTCTTTGTTCTATAATATGCAACCAGATACTGCAACCTTCTACGGTAGAAGTGCTATTCTGTTCATTGCGATTCTATCTAATGCCTTCTCGAGCGCTCTCGAAATTCTCACCCAGTATGCCCAACGTCCAATTGTGGAGAAACATGTTCGCTATGCATTCTACCACGCATCTGCGGAATCGTTTTCGTCCGTCCTGGTAGATATGCCCTATAAGATCAGCAACAGCATATGCTTCAACCTCATCATATACTTCATGACCAACCTGAATAGAACACCCGGAGCGTTCTTCTACTTTCTCTTCGTAACATTCCTCATGGTGTTGGGCATGTCGGGCATCTTCAGGTCGATGTAAGTGCATTATCACCCTTTCCCTCCCTTTATATCAATGGTATCTAATAAACTATAGTGCTTCATTATCTCGTACATTGTCACAAGCAATGGTGCCGGCATCGATTCTGATTCTTGCTTTGGTCATTTTCACTGGATTCGTTATTCCAGTAGATTACATGCTTGGGTGGTGTCGTTGGATCAATTATCTTGATCCTGTGGCATATGGATTTGAGGCACTCATGATCAATGAGTTTCACAATCGTAACTTCACTTGTGCAGCCTTTGTGCCAAGTGCAACCGTCGACGGTTATCAGAACGTGACATCTGATCACCAGGCTTGCTCGGCTGTGGGTTCAATTCCCGGCTTGAACGTGGTTAATGGAGATGATTATATCAATTCGGCATATAAGTACTATCACGCTCATAAATGGCGAAACGTTGGCATTCTGATCGGATTCGTCATCGCTTTTCACTTGCTTTACATCGTTGCGACGGAGTATATCTCAGCCAAGAAGTCGAAAGGTGAAGTTCTCGTATTCCGCCGCGGTGTTGTACCCCCAACAGCGAAGAGTGACGATATCGAAGCTTCCGTCTCCGGTCGCTTGCAAGTTGTCGAGAATGGCAGCGGTCACTCATCGAGTGACGAAGGCGTCATTCAGGCGTCGACAAGCGTCTTTCACTGGAACAACGTATGTTACGACATCAAAATCAAGGGCGAGCCCCGCAGGATTCTCGATAATGTGGACGGCTGGGTCAAGCCGGGTACGCTGACAGCACTCATGGGCGTGTCTGGCGCTGGAAAGACGACATTGCTTGACTGTCTAGCTGATCGCATTTCGATGGGCGTTATCACAGGCGAGATGCTAGTCGATGGTCATATCCGGGACCAGTCATTCCAGCGTAAAACTGGATATGTACAACAACAAGACCTGCACCTCGAAACCAGCACCGTTCGTGAGGCCTTGGAGTTTAGCGCTTTGCTTCGTCAACCTGCCAGTACACCCAGGTCTGAGAAGCTTGCCTATGTTGATGAGGTTATCAAGCTTCTGGATATGCAGGACTATGCTGATGCTGTAGTGGGTGTTCTTGGCGAGGGTTTGAATGTGGAACAGCGTAAACGACTCACGATTGGCGTTGAGCTCGCTGCAAGACCACCTCTACTGCTATTCGTCGATGAACCCACCTCGGGATTGGATTCGCAAACGTCATGGGCTATCCTGGACCTACTCGAAAAGCTGTCCAAAGCTGGTCAGTCTATCTTGTGTACAATTCACCAGCCGTCGGCGATGTTGTTCCAGCGTTTCGATAGGCTTTTGTTCCTCGCTAAGGGAGGCAAAACGGTATACTTTGGCGATATCGGTCTCAATTCAAAGACATTGACGACATATTTCGAGAGGAACGGTGCACCAGCGTGTCCGCCGGAGGCTAACCCTGCTGAGTGGATGCTTGAAGCCATTGGTGCTGCTCCAGGCTCTAGTACCGATGTTGATTGGCATCAGGCATGGCGTGATAGTCCCGAGTATCAGCAAGTACAGGAGGAGCTTCACCGTCTTAAAGATGGCGGTTTGACCCGTGAGAAGACTACAGAAGCTAGCAACCCGGCTTCCTACCGCGAGTTCGCTTCACCTTTATGGGATCAGCTATTGATTGTCACCCGCCGCGTTTTCCAGCAGTATTGGCGCACACCATCCTATATTTACTCGAAGTTCATTCTATGCTGCTCAGTCGCCCTATTCATTGGTTTGGTTTTCCTAGATGCTCCTTTGAGTATTCAGGGTATGCAAAATCAGATGTTCGCCATCTTCAACATTCTGACCATTTTCGGTCAACTTGTACAACAGCAAATGCCCCATTTCGTCACTCAACGCGCGCTTTACGAGGTTCGCGAACGTCCATCGAAAACCTACAGCTGGAAGATCTTTATGCTGTCGCAAGTCATCACAGAGATTCCTTGGAATTCATTGATGTCGGTTTTCATGTTCGTCTGCGTGTACTATCCTGTCGGATTGAACAGAAACGCAGAAGCAGCTGGTCAAACGGCCGAACGCGGCGCTCTGATGTGGCTGCTCTTCTGGCAGTTCTTGATTTTCACTTGCACCTTTGCACATGCCTGTATCGCCATAACGGACACAGCAGAAGCAGGAGGCAATCTCGCTAACGTGTTATTCATGATGTGTCTGCTGTTCTGCGGTGTGTTGGCATCCCCGGACGCCATGCCTCGTTTCTGGATTTTCATGTACCGCGTGTCTCCTTTCAGTTATCTCGTCTCGGCGATGTTGTCCACAGGCTTGGCAAACACCAATGTCACATGCTCCAGCGTTGAATACGTCGTCTTCGACCCACCTAGCGGCCAAACATGCGGAACCTACATGGCCGACTACATCAGCGCGGCAGGCGGGTACATTCTCGATTCAGCAGCCACCGCGGACTGCCAGTACTGCCCAATTGCGGATACCAATGTCTTCTTGACAAGCATTAGCTCCAACTACGCACATAGGTGGCGCGATTTTGGCATCGGGATGGTCTACATTGTCTTCAATATTGCTGCGTCCTTGGCCCTATACTGGCTGATTCGCATGCCGAAGGGAAAGAAGGAGAAATAAGCAAGCGGCTCAGTAATAGATCGATGGGTTTGGGGGCAGATGGTGTATTTTTTTCAGTAGCTATGCGCACATAGCATACTTCCTTTGTTGTCGTTCCATGCCGTATGGAAATTCGTAGACTCATTTCATATGTTTTGACTGTATCTGAATAATTAATAGACTAGATACTGGGATAATAGACGATTCAGGCATGATTAAAGATATCAATTGGGGGTGCTCGTGACGTTGATCCGTTTGCGAACGATGCAGCCTTCGTATAACATTCTCTAACTTAACGTGGCATAGCGCAGATCACTGTGCCGTTTCTAGCGCAATCCTTCAGGAGGCTCTAAGGATAATATAGCGACAGAGCCCCTGCATTTCAGTGAGAGATCCCTGTGAAACCTGAAATGATTGGGTGACCATTCTGAGATTGAGAAGCTTAACTCCCCTGGATCCAGCCCTGAGAAGTCAGGCCTCCCGTGTCGCAACATTCGCAACCTTCAGCTGCATATAAAAAAGCTTTCGCTGAGGGTTCCCTCAATTGGCTGCGCTCTTGCGATTGACTCTCATGCTATAGGAATAGAAAGCCTGACACGCGAACAAGAGTTGGCGCTCGTCTAAAGATGTGGCCATTCACGACAGCGTATCCAGAAAAGTCCGCCCAGGACGTTGATGGCGCTACATTCGATTACATCGTCGTCGGAGGTAAAGTTGATAACCATCCAGCTGAGGTAGCTTGCTCACACTTTTAGGCGGTACTGCTGGTTGCGCCGTTGCATCGCGTCTATCCGAGGATCCCAATGTCAAAGTTCTCGTGATCGAAAAGGGCCGTGTTGGAGACAGCTTTGTCTCGCGTGTCCCATTGCTGTCACAGAACTTCCTATGGCCATCTTCGCAGTCCGTGAGCACTCGGTATTCGGAGCCCTTAGAGCATGCTCACGGCAGACAGTTCCGCCTATGGAGCGCAGAGGCTGTGGGCGGAAGTTCTCGCATCAACGCCATGCTGTTGACACGGGGCCCGCCCGCCGGTTACAACGAGTGGGCAGAAGATATGGGTCTTGATGAATGGAGCTGGAAGCATGTTGAACCATATTTCAAGCGTATGGAGAACTGCAAGGCGCATCCTGGCAAGGATTATCGTGGCTATGACGGTATGACAACTCAGGTGAAGAGTCGACTTAGTGGCGTGCACAGAGCTAATAACCACGTTACAGGACCATTATTAGTCAGACAATTTCCGCTGCCATTTGGTGTCTATCCTTAGTATGCCTGCACTCAGTGAAGAACAACCGTACGCCATACTAACCAAAGTCATAGTTTGGAGAAGGCTTGCGAGGCTCTAGGGCTTCCGATTCGTGATGACAACAACGATCCAGATGGCCCAGTTCAGGGATATTTTAAGCTCGACGCCACAGTTGATGAGCGCGGAGAGCGTCTTTCCGCATATCACGCGTATTTGAACAAGCGTATAGCCCTCGAACGACAAGCAAATTTGACCATTTGCACTGGTGTTGTGGGCTCAAAACTGGAGGTAAATGGCAAGACTCGCCAAGTCACTGGAGTGTACCTCAGGTCTATCGACCCAAACAATACCAAAAAATACCTGGTCAAGGCTCGTCGTGAAGTCATCATAAGCAATGGCACTCTGCGGTCACCTCAGATGCTACTTTTGAGGTAAGTAATTTTTGTCACGGCCCTGCGGCAAACACTAAAGCCATGTATAGTGGAATTGGCCCCAAAGAGTATATCAAATCTCAGGGTATCACCCCCATTCACGATCTTCCAGCCGTAGGCAAGCACCTTGAAGATCATTATGCAGTGCCTGTCATGCTGGAGCTCCCCATGCAAGACACCATCCATCAATTGTCTACCGGCCTCATTGCCTTATGGCATATAATTTTATATTTCGTTTTCGGCCGCGGACTGATGAGCGCTCCATCTACGCAAACCACGGCTTTTGTGCGTACAACGTCTTTAGATGAAAACACAATGGCTGTTCGAGCACGAGATTCTCAGGGCCTTGACACGATGGACAGCTTTCAAAAGCGCAACATTCCCGATGTCGAGATCATGATCAACCCTATCAACTCCATTCAGAAGGATCTGCCTGGTCGATCTCTATTCACCTTTCATACGGCCCTTATGCAGCCATTGTCCCGGGGTCGTGTCGAGCTTGCCTCTATAGACCCTCTTGTTCAGCCTCGTGTTTACTACCCCTTCTTAACAAACGAACAAGATCTTGTGCCTCTACGTGCTGGCATTCGCTTCTCCATGCGGATGGGCGAGGGTATTAGCAAAACTGGCTATCCCCACCCTGCGCCACTTGTCTTCGGTCCTGGTATGGATCAAGCTACATTTGGCCGGTTCATGGAAGAAATCCCCGACCCCGTTGCGGCAGAAAGCACTTCGCTGAAAGAAATGTTCGGATCTACACCGGCTGTTCTGAAGGAGCTCAAGTTCAACCCGGTGAATAAAAGCTGGCGTGATGTGACCGATGAAGAGATCGATGCTTACGCCCGTCACGCAGCCGTCGCTGCACTTCACTACTCAAGCTCCTGCCGCATGTCTCAGACTCCCAAAGATGGTGTCGTCGATCAGCGTCTGCGAGTCCATGGCCTCAAGGGTTTGCGAATCGCGGACGCGAGTGTGTTTCCAAAATGTCCAGCTGCACACACCATGGCTCCAACCATAATGGTAGGAGAGAGATGTGCCGATTTTATAAAGGAGGAATGGGCGGTGAAGAAGACACAGTGAGCAGGATAATATACACATTGCTTTATTAAGATGATATAGCTTGGCGTGCCATCATCCTGTTCGGGTTCGGAACAGGGTTCGAAACATATCATACCAAGAAGTATAACTGGAATAATGTTAAGGATTTAGGCCGAGGAAATGGAGAGCCTGGTGGACTCCGGTCGAGAGAAGCTTCAGAATTCATCAACGATCTATTAGGCTTCAATCATCACTTGTTATTCACTTCGACTCTACTGAAATAGGTGATGAGTTGAGGCTGCTAGCTGTCATACGTAGAGTAGAATATAATTGACCTCAAATCGCTATCTTTGTGGTGAAATGTCTCGGCAGTGATCCATGCACGCTATCTACCTTCATAGCCTTGGGTAATCGTCATATCCGAATGGTAAACTTCTGCTTAGTGTCATAACGTGGGCAAACAACGTTGTCTATTTGCCTTGCATGATTGCAACAAACTCGTGGTCTGAGGGGCTGTTAGCTCACTCAAGAAGTAGGAGTCTCGTAATGCCTTACAGTCAATAGAGCCATTGCCATCCTTATCAGCCTCTCGGACCATCTCGTCGATCTCTTCACTAGTAAGGTTCTCGCCGATGGAAAGCATGACCTGACGAAGCTCGGCAGCGGAAATTGTGCCGCTGTTGTCCCGATCGAAGACCTATCAATAGTCGATAAGCTGCTTGTACTAAAATCGGCACTTTGGATGGGCAGTCACCTTGAAGGCCTCTTTTAGTTCCTCTTCGATATCACCGGCCTTGACTTTTCTAGCCATCATCTCAACGAACTCTGAGACCGGGTCAGTTCAACTCCTGCCAAGGTAGCTACTTTCTCGAAGAGGTCTCAACCGACCATTGAAGTCAATACTCCCAGTGTTGTCAATATCGACCTCACTGATCATGTCATGTAGCTCTTCATCTGTGGGGTTCTGGCCCAGAGATCGCATGACGGTGCCAAGTTCCTCGGCAGTGATCACTCCTAGATTTTGACAGCGGTTAGCCACTTCCCCAAGACGTTTGATTTGCCGATAGTGCCCCTAAGTGCTCTTTGCAACTGGTGACAGGTTCTTGAGGTGTGGGCAGCCACTCACCATCGCCATTCTTGTCCTGTGGGCCTCATTAGAACATGTTTACTTCCTGAGCCAAGAAGGAGACTTACGAAAGAGACGAAGACATCCTTCAGCTCAGCGATTTGCTCTTTAGTCATTGACGAGGCCTAAGTGAGGAGTTGAGTTAGCTGGGCGCTCAGCGTCATGGTCGGGAGTAGCTAGCTCTTTAGAGCAACTGGCAGATATCGGCAGGGAGTCGCGACGGCATTCACACATACCATGGTTACTTATGCAAGGGTCCTAAGGTGCGAGCGAGCGGGCTGTGCAAAGGTAGTGTGGGATGTACAGTACCGATTGAGAATCTGACACCGCACAGCTGAAGGAAGTGGAGAAACCCATTGGGCGTCTGACGTTGTTTCAGGTTTCAAAATCACATGACTTCTATGACGTGGCGCCAGTGTTCTTGTTTGCGGGGAAGCGATGTCAGGCATTTTGATTGTCAATTTGATTTTGACAAGTCTCTTGTCTTGCTGAAGTCTATGGTGTCGCGATAGTTACGTATATAGTCAGGAACTGTTGCAACTGAAAGTAATAAGGTACTTCGGAATGCTCTGATGTTTAAGTCTCCGACAAGGTCCTCTACACCTGGCCGGCTGCGCCTCGTTCGGATGGCGTGCGGGACGGACGGATATTCCTAAGGCTTCCCGTACCCCTCAACTTAGCGGCTCCTGGACGCCTACAACAGCTTCAACATACTCAGTACCCTACCTAGCTAGGAACCTTACCTAAGCATTCCATCTTTTCGGGCACAATAGATAGGAATCGCCATGAGATATCATATCGTCTTTTCAATAGCGCTTTGGAAGTGGGTGGCGCTTTCTCTTGTATCTTGCATACAAACAACCAATGGTCCCTTTCCTAGAACGGACTTAGATGGTCACATGGGCCCCAGTGACGATGCTTCTTTCCAAACATGCTAGTCTATGCGGCAAGGGTCATCATCAGCCTTCCTCTTCAGAATCCTCAACTACATTTTTTGAGGGACCCTGTTTCAAACCCCAGGTATCGGGCTAATTTAACTTCCTATGACTTATCAAGGCCCCGGCCAAGTTTGCCCATTGGTTATCAATAAATATTTTCGAGTTTCATTGACTACGTTAAGATGCGTCTGAGTACCGGGATTTCTCTTCTCGAAGTCCGATATATCTATCCTTCCAATTATGGTGCCAGTTTGTACTGGAACATGGGCAGTAACATGGGCAGTAACATTTCTGGGGCGAAGTTTCCCTGGCTGGATGTGGCAGAAACACATCGTGATGAGTCGTCACTGCTCAAAACAAAGCATTGTGCGACAAAGCAGACTCAAGTGAGCAAATTTGGGCCGGGTGATGGTCTCCTCTTGGCGACTCACACAAATAATCAGTACTCATTTCAGTCAATGTTTTCTGTCACGGTTCATATAATCACCTGAGCTCTACACCATATACATAGTTTCCGCCGCCGAGACTCTACAACTTCCGGAAGGTTCTCCCTTGTGCCGGCAGGAAGCCACAGGGTATCGTTATTCACCTGAACAACAGTGAGAGAACAATTCTTTGATACACAAAAATATTCACTGGTGGCAGCTTTATCTCACCCTTAAGCTGCATAGCACTGAACATTTTCATAACTCCTTTCATCACTCAACCTCCTTCATCCTCATACCACATAACGCCTCAGATCAAATCAAACAGTCCTCAAGATGGCGCTGAGTAAGGTTGGAATCACTTCCATCTCGCTTGGGCGCAGCTATGCGCGTCATCAATTCGTCGACAGACTCGCCGCAGCCCAGCAGTTTGGTTTCGACGGCATTGAGCTGGCATACGAGGATCTCCTGGCGGTCACCAGGGGTTTGAACCACGATGGCGTCAATAATGAGCCCGTTAGAGATGCTCTGATGTCCGCGGCACGTCTCGTTAAAGATCTCTGTGCCCAACATGATCTCGAGATCATCTGCCTTCAGCCGTTCTCACAATACGAAGGACTGGTCGATGACGAAATCCACGACGGGCGCATCTATCAGTTGCATCTCTGGGTCATGATAGCTCACGAACTGAACACGGACCTCATTCAGATTCCCTCAAACTACCTCCCTGCCGACGAGCTGACTCGTGATGTCGCGCACATGGTGAGAGACCTTCAGGAAGCCGCTGATATCGGCGCAGCCGCCAACCCACCCATTCGATTTGCATATGAGGCCATATGCTGGGGAACCTGCGTCAACACTTGGGAGCAGTCTTGGAACATCGTCAAAGCCGTCGACCGCGACAACTTCGGCCTCTGCCTGGACACATTCCACATTGCCGGCCGTGTCTTCGCCGACCCAACTGTCCCCGATGGCAAGATGCCTAATGCCCAGCAGGCCGTCAACGACACCTTAGATCGTCTTGTCAAGGAGGTCGACGTGAAGAAGGTTTTCTATATTCAGGTTGTCGATGCTGAGAAGCTCACGAAGCCCCTCGTCCAGGGACACGAATACTACAACAAAGAGCAGCCAGCACGAATGAGCTGGTCACGCAACTGCAGACTGTTCTACGGAGAGGAGGACCTCGGCGCATACCTGCCCATCAAGCAAATTGCAACGGCAATCTTCGATGGACTGGGTTATACGGGCTGGGTCAGCCTCGAGCTCTTCAATGTCAGAATGTTGGACGAGGGTGAGGAGGTTCCTTCCGACTTGGCTTATCGAGGTGCGAAGTCATGGCATAAACTAGCCCGAGACATGAACTTAAGAGTTGGTTCGTCAGTGAGAGAGGATTCCTAATCGTTAACATGTGAGATGGGCTCACATTTCGACACGCATCTGTTTTTTACGCTTGGCGTTACGGAAGGATAACAACTGTCGACTCAAACAGACTCTGCTAGTATAGTCACAGTACTAAATACAACACATAAAGTATGTCTCATCGAAGCGGACACAATAATTTCGGCGTGATGGTCGAATGAGTTTCTAATGTTCTCTAATTTCACTTTGTGTCTAAAATCTACAAACGCACAAACATCACCCATGCTGTTCCAGATGTCTAAGCCCATACATCCTCCTAGAATCTTTTGTTGGCTTTTATCCGATCGACGTATGCCTGCGCTTGCCCTGGTATGTGTCCCTCATCCGTCAAGAAGCTCACTGTAGACCTCTTCACCTCCGTTGCCATGTTAATGCTGCCGCAGATGTAGCACGCCGCTTCGCCCTCAAGAGTCATCTTCCCTATCGCACGTCCTCCTTCTTCAATGACATGCTGTACAAACCGCTTTCGAGGCCCAGATCGTGAGAATGCCGTGTAGACTCTGAAGAAAGCTTGCTGCTGGAGCCGTGCCCACTCATCCGCGTACATGGAGCCTTGGTCTGCTGAACCACAGCCGAAGACAAGCACCATTTGGCCAATCGGACAGCCCGCTTTGTACAGAGCCTCCCTCTCGTGAGCGAAAACTAGGAACGGTGCGATGCCACTGCCCCGTAGAAGTTCCCTCCCTACGGCAAATCCGTCACAACTACACCAATAGTGATTGCAAGCTTCTCCTTCGAGACGCTCGGGGACGACGGAATTGAGAAGTATCGTGGTTGTAGGCGGGGAATGGTTTGCAACAGTGGTATGGAATGTTCTTCTGGCCACACAACATCTTTCTGCGGCTCTGCGACCGCTATGATCTTACCAAGCGTCAGGTGACGGGCGACGACTTAGTCCTTCCGAGTATCGTGGCGAGTAAGGAGGTTCGCAGTTGTAGTTTTCGCAGCGTCAGTCAGCGTGAAATATGCGAGTAAACGACCCCATTCTTGAGTGACTGGTCCACTGATATCCAGGTAGTAGCGCAAGAGGGCGAAGCGACTCGTTGTCTGAGACGGAAAGTTTGTCGGGTCAAAGCTTTCTAACAAGGGTGAATTTTGACCACAGCATGGAGCTTCTTCTCGTCCCAGCCACCTAAGCGTAGGACCTATTCAGTATACTTTTGAGTTCATATGGCAACTGATCTCCCGTCTTGTACGCCAAATTTGACTTGTTATTGCTGATGTCGAATTCAATATGGAGATATGTCCTTGCAGTCTCGGAGGTTATGTTTGCTGGAAAAGACAAAAGCCGCGTCGTTGACACCCCTGCTGCATGTGGCTTTATTCGGTCCGGAGATAGAAGTGCAAGCTGCTCGCTCACTTGTGCAAGTTGCTTTGTGGAGCTTGTGACAAGCCTGAAATCTAGCTCGTTTATAGATCTTTGATTATCGACCGCCCTCTTTGACACAATCAATGATACCTCTTCAGCAACTCTTTCTTTACATTCGGTCTAAGAGGCGTTAGATAGAATGATTTCATCCTGCTTGCCCACATAACCCAAGAGTGTTGCGCCTGCAGCAGCACAAAACTCATCAACAATATCAACAAAGCGGTTATAATACTCGTACTTGCTGCTCCCAAGTCCAAAAGCGAAGTATCGTAGTTGGGCCAAGGGTGGCTCGCTTCGGGTGCTCTTACAAGCCTGCCATTGAGAAAGACATTCGTACAACTCCATTGCATTATCAGGTGGATCTCCCTCACCGAAGGTAGATTAAATGAATCCAACCACCATTTTTGATGCTAGACGAGCGAGGTTCTGATGATCGATGCGCTAAGGTCCTCGGCTATTGCAGCAATACCAAGAGTCAACTGCAATTCAGGGGCCAGTTGCTTGGCTAGGCATTCAGCATTGCCACTTTGAGATCCCCAGAATATCACCACGTCCTCATGCTACATCTTATGTACGATATTATCAGCGCCATGATCTACGCGCAGGATCCTAACTTCCAAGCAAACAACTCGACTGTAACCACTGCGGAGACACCAGACGTCAGGTTGTACAACGTCGATATGTACTAGTCGATGATTGGCTCTTCGCGTATGTCAACTAGTACCAGCTGTGCCCAAAGGCCACGAAGCTGGTTCAATTCCTGACGCAATGGCATCCTGCATGGGCCGCGGGGATGGTCTGCGAGTCGTGACCATCCACTTCGTATGCAACAGACTACGCATGGACACTGAGAGATTTCAGAAAGGACTCGAACCTCTTGACGACCTCATGTCTACAATGCCATGGGACAAGAATCAAGATGCTCTTGGCCTGGAGCTCGGGGAGCTTGTGACGGAGGCTGCAAACATGTTCAATGCTGCGGCCGAGAACACGGAATTGCCGCAACGAACATCATTTAGCTTCTAGCAAGAACTCCTCGTGCCGTTGCCAAACTTCGTGAGGAGCTAGATACCGTTCTTGACTGGAGAGCCACGGCAGTACCACGATACAATGACATCACAGATCTCCCTTATCTCCGCGCTTGCATTGATGAAGGTCTTCGCCTCCGTCCCTCCATTGAAGGCGGACTACCCCGTCTTGTGCCCTCGGAAGGTATGCGCGTGAATGGCGAATGGTTGGAAGGAGGTACGACTATTTCAGTCTCTACGGACACGGTCCATCGTGACGCCAAAATTTTCCATGATGATCCCGAAGAGTTTGTACTAGAGCGATGGCTACGTCCGGATGCTAGTGCCATGCAACAAGGCTTTCTGGCATTTTCTCAAGGTGGTAGAGCTTGTATTGGGAGAAACATTGCGTACTCTGAGATATCACTCGTTATTGCGTTGTTGGTTTCTCGATATGACTTGGACCTGCGATCCCCCGACTGGGATCTCGGTATCGAAGAGAACTTAAGTGTACACACCGAACCATTGCCGATCAAGGTCAGTTTGAGACCGTGATTACATCGAGAAACATGCAGCAGATGCAGCTGAGCTAGGAATCAAAATTCAACGCTTCAAAGTTCAGTGTCGTTGTGTAATCATGCACATCAATATCTAATTATAGCCGTCAGCGGGGGAAAGTGCGAGACTAAATACAAAAGTGCGAGACCAAAATATAACCGCAATAGCTCATTGTGGGGAAAATCCTTCGCCTTCTCTCGACGTAAAGTTATAGTCTTGGCATGATTTTCTTAGTGAGGATATCGTATCGATGGAATCCGTGCCGTACAAGACCCTCTTTTAAGTTTTCTTCAAACAAGAAGAGCCTTTTCGGCATTTAACATGTGAGCTCTATATACAAAACGCCCGATTTTCTCTCATTCAAACTTTAATTTCAACCGTCTATTAAGATTCATTCTACTTTCAGCAGCTGAGGAAGAAAGTTCTCGGCGTACCTAGTGGCATTTCTTTCAATCAAGAAACCCAGTCTACAAATCATTGATGCATTTTCCTGTGTCTTCGGGTCACTATCAGTAACCATGGAGCCAGTCCTACCAGCGAATTCGGTCTCCAAATCACTTTTGGCTTCAAGCCCCGATGGCTCGGCCCTCAAAGGCAAAAGCATTCTTATAACTGGAGCAGCTCAAGGTCTCGGCGAGTCCCTTGCCGAAAGCTATGCCGCAGCAGGCGCTTTTGTTACTGTAGCCGATCTCAAAGTTGCCGAAGGGCAGGCGCTTTGTTCGAAACTACAACTAAAAGGTTATCAGGCAAACTTCGTCCACTGCGATGTCACGAAGTGGAACGATCAAGTCCAAGCCTTCAAGTCTGCAATCCGCTTTTCACCTAGTGGAGATACTGTTGACCATGTTATCATCAACGCCGGAGTTATGGACACACCGTTCTTCACTGCCAGAGATGAGCCTCTGAAAAGCTTGAACGAAGACCCTCAGGAGCCGGATGCCCGGCCAATTGAAGTGAATACCCGTGGTGCAATGTTCAGCCTAAAGTTAGCCCAGCTGTACATGACCATGACACCAGGTACCACCACCACAAGCAAAGGGTCGAAGAGCGTTCTTTTCCTGCTGAGCCCCGAGTCATACATCACGTTACCTGGAAGTGTCATTTATGGTGGATCCAAATTCGGTGCCCGTGGTCTATTTAGAAATGCTAGAGTTCTATTGGCGACCCAAGGCATACGCATCAATGCCATCGTTCCTTGGTTGATGGAAACACCAATGAACGCAGGAGGTCCTTTTCTAGAGATACTGAACAGCGTAGGCATTTCGACTGTCAGCCTAGAAGCACACGTAAAAGTGGCAACGCATTTACTTAGTAATCGCGAGATTGCTGGCAGAGCAGTGGCCTTGGGACAACCTGAGGGAGTAATTTTCGACGTTGAGGATGACATGGAAGGTGGCGATGGATCCAAAAGATACTGGGAGATGCTATATCAGAACTGGCCCGATGTATCTAAGCGACTACAGCAGATGTTTGCGATGCTAGGGTTAGAGGTTGATGAGAGATACGCTGTTTTCTGAGATGTGAATACGAACTTAACATTTTCCTTCCAGGGCAATCAAATAGATTGAACGACTCTAGTGTCAAACATCGTGAATTACAAACATCATCAATCTGCTGGTATCGCAAAGACGTTTGTAGGCTATAGTACTAAAGGTCAGCGTATGGTTATAGTACTCGCTGCCGAACATTAGTAGTAAAGGCAAGTGAGCAAAATGATTAACTAGGTCACAAATCATTTGAAACATGCTAAGGTATGCAATCTGCGATTCAATAAAAATATAGCCAACTTGAGGCATCTGAAACGTCTTGGGCTTCATGACTCGAGTTTGCAAAGTGTTTCCGGTTCGAGTCCTGCTTCTCCCTAACATGATAGTCATGCTGAAATGGAATAACCCCTCGATAGGTTGATTACAACAAGTTATAGCTGAATATGATGGCCACAGCACCCAAGCCCCAAGCCGCTGCAGCGATTCGATCGGCGCCGCTATCCGCAGTGCTAGATGGAGAGGCCTCAGAAGTCGCTGTAGCAGCCACACTGGCTCCTG